CCCTGGGTGCCTGAACTCCCCTAAGCAAAAATTGACTGTTGCTGGTCCTGAAAACAGCTAGCCTGTCATTTCAGGTTCCTCAAAGCCAGGCAGGTGGCATTTTATTCTTGGGCCTTGGGTAGAGACAGGATTAGTTAAGGAGAGCATTTGCACAGCGCACAGTACCGGGAAGTCGTTAATTGCTTGTATGGACCAACGCCGCCGGGCAGAGCGAGGAGACATCTGTGCATGAAAACGTTACACCCAGGAGGAGGGAAGAAAAACACCAAGAAAATTAAAAGGGAAAAATATAGAATAAAGTAAAGCTTCCCATACATCCGATGGATTCAAATGTACCATAATACACTGTAAAGTCGGGATTTAAATGACTAAAAAATATGAACCTAAGCACAGCAGTATTCGGATTCCCTCACCTCCCTCCCACCCATCACACACAGCTTCAATTTCATTGTTCTTTCAGTCACATTTCAAGGTATATGGAGGCTGACATTAACATAGTTCTGACAAAGGAACCACAAATAGGGTTGAGGAACACTAATATGCACTAAGATCACTGTGCAAGTGCAGAAATAGGCAGAAGCCTGTTTCCCCTGTAGTAGGTAAGAACAGCACATTCTCATTTTTAAAAGGAAGACGTTCTTGAATAGGCTCAATACCAAATGTTTTCTAGTATGTGGTGGGGGCAATGAGGGGATTGGGTGTCTTGACATTTGGCCTGCAGGAGTATCTTCAGAGTGATGCCATGGGCTGTGGGAGCCCTGGAAAAACGAGGGGAAGGAAGGGGCTAATGCTGAAGAGGGACCTTCCTGAAAGCACCCTTGCTAACAATATGAGTATCTGTTTATGGAGATCAGAAATTATTCTATTAACCTAAAGACGATTCTAGTTATTTACATCAGAGCTATTTTAGTAACATAAACTAAAGCAAGGGTGGGAGTTTGCAAAAAGGTTTAAATGTATGCAAGGCAATACCTAATGCTTATCTTAAGTTCTGGGCCTTCTGATTTATCCTAGGAATTAACATTTTATCAGCACTAAGAGTTGGTCCACTTGTCAAATGAATGTTAGCAATTTGATGTTTTGTTTTGTTTTGTTTTGTTTTTGTGAGATGGAGTTTCACTCTTGTTACCCAGGCTGGAGTACAATGGCGTGATCTCGGTTCACTGCAACCTTCGCCTCCTGGGTTCAAGCCTCAGCCTCCTGAGTAGCTGGGACTACAGGTGCATGCCACCATGCCCAGCTAATTTTTGTATTTTTAGTAGAGACAGGGTTTCACCATGTTGACCAGGATGGTCTCGATCTCTTGACCTCGTGATCCACCTGCCTCAGCCTCCCAAAGTGCTGGGATTATAGGAGTGAGCCACCGCGCCTGGCCTTGATGGTTTTTTTAGGCATCTCACATTTTAAAATTTTTAGAAGCAAAGCTTGGAATTCCACCTAGAGAATATTTGGGTGAATATAACAATATAACCTAAGTAGGCCAGGTTAAAAACACACAAAGCCATGAGAGAAACAAACAACAATCTCTAAATGGCTCTATAAAGATCTTTTGATATCTCAAAACTATACTATACTGGGCCGGGCACAGTGGCTCACACCTGTAATCTCAGCACTTTGGGAGGTCGAGGCAGCTGGATCACCTGAGGTCAGTTGTTCAAGACCAGTTTGGCCAACATGGTGAAACCCCGTCTCTATTAAAAATAGAAAAAATTAGCTGGGTATTGCAGGGGAGGGAGCTGTAATCCCAGCTATGCAGAAGGCTGCGGCAGGACAATCTCTTGAACCCAGGAGGTGGAGGTTGCAGTGAGCCAAGATCACACCACTGCACTCCAGCCTGGGCAACAAGAGCAAAACTCTGTGTCAAAAAAAACCACTATACTGGCTGGGTGAGGTGGCTCATGCCAATAATCCCAGCACTTTGGGAGGCTGAGCTGGGAGGCTTGCTAGAGCCCAGGAGCTTCACACCAGCCTGGGCTACATAGCCAGACCTCATCTCTACAAAAAAAAGACCAAAAAAACCCCCCAAAACGGAAAAAAACTCACGATACTTCCCTCATTGCTAAGCCTTATTCTCACTTATTTAAAGCTCTCAGGGGCAGAGATCTAAAAGGGAATAAAAACATGTAGGAGAAAAATCTGGGCTAAAAATGAAGACCTAAACACAGAGAAATCCAGCATGGGCAACATATTGGGAACCCAGCTCTACAAAAATACTTGTTTTTAATTAACTGGGCGATGTGGGGTACTCCTGTAGTTCCAACTACTCAGGAGGCTGAGGAGGGGGATCATTTGAGCCCAGGAGACTCAGGTTGCAGTTGGCATGTTCACACCACTGCACTCCAGCCTGGGCAACAGGGAAAGGCCCCATCTCTTATTAGAAAAAAAAAAAAAAAAAATCCCAAAAAAAACACAAACAGAAACTTAGTAGACTAGAATCATTTCCATAAAAAAAAGAAACTAAAGTGACATCATTTGACCTGTGAAACTAGACAGCTGGGGATTACAAAATGCACCTCAAGAGGTATCAACCTTTGTAAGGAAGGCAAGGTAGCTCACATAATATATCACGGCTGGCCAGGCACGGTGGCTCAAGCCTGTAATCCCAGCACTTTGGGAGGATGAGGCAGGCGGACCTCGAGGTCAGAAGTTCAAGACCAGCCTGACTAACACGGTAAAACCGCGTCTCTATAAAAAAATAAGCCAGGCATGGTGGCAGGCGCCTGTAATCCCAGCTATTCGGGAGGCTTAGGCAGGAGAATCACTTGAACTCAGGAGGCTAAAGGTTACAGTGAGCCCAGATTGTGCCACTGCAACTCCAGCCTGGGCTACAGAGCAAGACTCTGTCTCCAAAAAAAAAAAAAAAAAAAGATATCATGGCCATATTCCACCTACGTAATTCCGACATTGACCCCCTACACAAATGGGACGGACATGAACAAACTTCAAGGAGAGAGACATTTATATGAAATTCATCACAAAAGGACTGACTACTCATTTTTATCTTGTTAGTCTATTAAGTTGAACCACATGAATCTTTGTTTAGGTCAAAAATGGTCAAATATCAGCAATTTCGTATGAGTTAAGCTAACAATCCAAGGTTTCTGAGGTTTTTGAAATGTTCTATTTCTTGACCTGTGTGATTATTAATTCACTGAACTATATGCTTTGATTTGTGAACTTTTCTGTATGTGGTATCCATCAATATGAGTTTCACATGAAATTTTAATCAAAGCATCACCCCATTTTATTTGGTCATTATTTGAAACACAACATAAAAGGCCACTTACTATGCTGTTAGGGGCCTGAACAGCCCTCTTTCTCTGCAGAATAGTGCAGTGGGAACCACCCTGAACTAAAATATCACAACTCTTCCTCCACTCCCCTGCAGATCCTATCTGATGAGAGAATTATCCACATGCTCTTGGTTCCTCTTTATAATTATGGTGTTTGTAGTATTAATAAAAAAAAAAAAAGAAAAAAAGAAAAAAAGGCCATACCATCAAAAACATGAACACAGGCTGAAAAGAGGCCTCATCTTGGAAATTGAGTTATTTTGATTGGAGTGGGCTTTACACACCTCCACAAAGTCAAAATTAGTCTATTCTGCCCAATCTGAACCCAAATATGGGTGGCACATGACATGAATCAAAGAGGAATTCAGAACTGCCTCTTGGACTGAAAGCTCTCCTTGATCTCTGGGCCTGACACTCAAGAAAATCCCCACATTTACCCAACCATGAACCTGGCTTTCATCTCAACAAAATGTCTTAGTTCCAACCTGTTTATCAAATCATCTATCCAATTACCTGGGAGCATGTGGGAAAAAAAGAACTAACAATTTTGAATGGAAAGGACTTGGAGATGACATAGATTAGTGGGTGTTCCAGGGAGGTCTGTAATAGCCAAGTGGGCAGAACTCCATCAGAGATGTGACGAAGGGGACTATAGGAAAGTGTCCTGAAAAGCCAAAAAAAAAAAAATCATTTTTCCTATTTGACTAAATGGTTTTGCTCAAGACTGGTCTGGTCTCAAACAACAGTTGCTGCCACTCATTTTAGTTACATACAAGCCTAAAATAAAGTCAGAGAGAGTCAACTATCGGTGTAAACTTTTAAGGTTAGACATTCTACTGCAATCGAACTGAAGACACTACTAATATGTCCTAGAAATGGGTGTCGGGTCTAAAATAATTCAATTTTAAAAAAAACAAGTATCAATTACAATCCATTATTTCTCATGGAGTGAGAGATAACAACAAAGAATTCCTAAGTTTGTGCAGTGCTCAGTGGTAACTCTGTTTAAAACATGTCAGCTAAAAGTCTGTTCAAGCCAGACTTGCGATCTGTCAACACAGAAAGCTTTCTTGGGATCATTCCTGTGCTCTGCCAACATTCTCTACACTGTTGGCACCAAAGGTTTCTGACAGCTTAATGATAACTACTTTAGGGACAATGAGTTCTTTGAGAAACTAGGCACATAAGGACAAGCTCAGGTAATTTTTGTGTCATCTGGTCCACTCAAATGGGTATTTCCATGTAGACTTAGTGAAAAAAAGAACAACAACAAAAAAACCCAATCTTTTAGACATCAACTTTAAGACTTCTTACAACTATGAAGTTCCAAATATATTAAGATCCCAAAACTTCAGAGGCATCCCTTAAATTTCTTGACAAACGTCAGAAAACCATGGAAGATGTGAAGCTAAGGTATTCTACCCTGAAATAATGGGAACTGACTCAGTGAATGGAGATTGCGAGAACAGGGTTAAATGGGCACTAAAGACTATGGACCATAAGAACCACCCACCCCTCCATACACACATAATTTACAGCAGCTAAAATCAACTAAAAGGAACGGAGCAACGCCTTTCTTGAACAAACTGATTATGAAAGTGGAAGACTACGGGGGTTTACTAATCTAGCTGCTGGGCCAGGCAGGAGTCGATGGACAAGAATCCAGGAGAAGGGGTAAGAATCACAGGCCACAGCTCTGGCACTTACCCGCTCCTTGTAGTAGAAGGAGCTGATGGAGACCTGCTCTTTCTCACTGCGAGTGGGGCTCCCACTGTATAAACGAAGGTTCCCAGGGGCCTCTGTGCGGATCTTCATGGGCGCGATCAAGCCCGTGTGATAAGCGGACAAGGCCGAGAGAGATCTGTAGTTGAAAAGATAATTATCCACACTGGCTGCAGTCCTGTCATATTTCCAAGTGGTGCTGTCGTTAGCACCTGACACCAAGAGAAGACAAAATGAGAAAATGGAAACTCCAGAAAAATAAGTCAATACAACTTTTAACACTGAAAAATGCTTTATCTGCAGAAGCATAGAATGCATCTATGATTACAGGCATAAAAAATTGAAAGAAATCTACAAACTACTAGAATAAGTGAATTTGAATACAAGGTCAAATATCTACTATAGTTCAAATATCTATTATAGTTCCATACATTAGAAACAAATATTTGAAAAATAAATATTTTTAAAACTCATTTATAGTAGCATTAAAACACATCAAATACCTAGGAATACATTTAATTTTTGAAAATGTGCACAAAAATACAAAATGTTGCTGAGAAAAATTAAAGACATACAATGATGGAGAAATATACCATGCTAGTGGATTGGAAGAGTCCATATTCTTAAGACGGCAGTTTTTCCAAATTGATCTATAGAGTCAACACGATTCCAATCAAAATGCAAGCAGCCTTTTTAGTAGGAACTAGTAAGTGGATTTCATAATGTTATTAAAAGACCTGAATAGCCAACCCGAACTCAACAAGAATAGGGTAATTGGAGGACTTGACCTATCAGATTTGAAGACTTAACTATGGAAAGGTACATTATGAACGTAGTGTTGCCATAAAAGATAAACAGATCAAAGGAAAAAGAGTCCAGAAAGACCACCATATATGGTCTACTGATGTTCACCAAAGCCATCAATACAAATTCAATGACAAAAGAAAATCTTTTCATCAATGGTGCTAGAACAACTAATTTTCTCTACAAAATAAAACGAACTTTGACCCCTAATTCATATTACATGCAAAAATCAATTTGAAATGGATCACAGATCTTAAGTAAGGAATTTAAATCTATAAAGCTTTTATTTTTATTTATTTATCTATTTATTTTTCTATGAAGCTTTTAAAAGAAAACACAAGGCCGGGTGCGGTGGCTCATGCTTGTAATCCCAGCACTTCAGGAGGCCGAAGCAGGCAGGTCACTTGAGGTCAGGAGTTTGAGCCACTGCACTCCAGCCTGGATGACAGAGTGAGACTCTGTCTCAAAAAAAAAAAGAAGAGTATTTTCATGACCTTGGGATTGAAAAAGATTTTTTGAGGCACAACACAGAAATCACTAAATATAAAAATTAAAAAGTGATAAACTGGACATCATCAAAATTAGGAAACACTGTTCACTGAAAAACATTAAAGAGGGAGAAAGGCAAGCCACAGATTTGGAGAAAGTCAACACATTCATCTAGCAAAGAATTTGCAACCAAAATAGGTAACGACCACAAATAAATAAGAAGTAACAGTTCCCCCAAAATAGGCAAAACACTTAAGAAGCACATCACAAAAAAAAGATACCCAAATGGTCACTATGCACACAGAAGCTGCTCAACATCATTCATCATCAACATGGAAATGCAAATTAAAACCACACTGGAAAACTAGTACACTCACATCACGATGGCTAAAGTTGAAATGACTAGCAATACCCAGTTTCAGAGTGGATATACAGCAACCAGCGCTCTGAAACATTGCTGGCGACAGGGTAAATGGCACAACCACTGCGCACAAACTTTTGAGCAATTTCTCAAGTTAAGGATACATCTATCCAATGACTGAGAAGTTCCGCTCTCCTCAGGTGCAGAAATTAATACACAAGTTTTTTTTAATAAACATATGTATCCAGGTTTGCTCGTAATAGCCCAAAACTGGAAAGGATGCAAATATCTACCAACAGGACAAAGAATAAACAAACTATGTTATATTCATACAATGGACCTACTGACACATGCAGCAATGTGGATGGATCAATGTCAATAACATTACATTGGGCAAAGTGAGCCAGACATAAAACAGGTCATGCTGCACGATTCCACTCATTGAAGTTTAAGAACAGGCAAAACCAAACTACAGTGATGGAAGTCAACATAGTGTTGTCTTCCGGGTGCTGAAGGGCTGGGGAAACGGACCAGGAACCTTTGGGGATGAGGACAATGCTCTATATCTTGGTAAGAGTGTTGGTCACTGAACTCTATGCTTCAGATTTGTGTATTGTAAACTATCTCAGTAAAGGACTATCAGTTGAAAAACATTCTAATCGGAACATTTTTCCCTCTAATCCAAAGTCCAGATATAGATATTCCTTGTTTCCCTTTGAGAATAGGGGAATGTTTTCTATTCCAATAAGGAATTGGGTGTAATGTAGGTGTTCCCTAGTACTTAACCCCAGTTCCCATGGGGCCCAGGTCACATCTGCCTGGGTTACTGCAGAGACTGGCCACCTCTTGGCAAAGCAGCAGTGTCTGCTCACACGTGTCATTCAGTTCTCTTTCTTTCTTGTTAACTCAGCTATTCATTCATAACTGATATGGTTAGGCTTTATGCCTCCCCCCAAATCTCATGCTGAATTGTAATCCCCACAATCCCCACGTGTCAAGGGAGGGACATAGTGGGAGGTGACTGGATCAAGGGGTCAGTGTCTTCCATGCTGTTCTCACGATAAGTGAGTTCTGGTGAGACGTGATGGTTTTACCAGATCTGACAATTTCTCCTTCACACACACACTCTCTTTTGCCTGCCGCCATATAAGATGTGTCTCTTCACCTTCCATCATGACTTTAAGTTTCCTGAGGCCTCCCCAGCCATGTGGAACTGTGAGTCAATTAAATCTCCTTTCTTTAGAAATTACCCAGTCTTGGGCAGCTCGTTGTAGCACTGTGAGAATGGACTAAAACAATGACTATGCTGAGTATATTATATCCAATGCCTTCAAGGGTTTGCAGCAGAGAGGTTCGCAAGTTGTTATATCTTGGCCACCAGACTACCGAACCAGAAGTCTACTGTATAATCCTAAAGTTTTTAAACCAGTAATCATAACAGGAAACACGGAACACTTCCGATGTGCCAGGTGGTGTTTTAAGTGTTTTTACAGGGACTTAATCTTCCCAGCAACTGCAGGTAGTGGGTGCTATGATCATCCCCCCCATGTTACTGTTGAAGAAACTGAAGGTGAAGTTTAGGTAACTTGCCCAAGGTCATAAAATGACAGGGCCAAAATCTGGATCTGAGCACACTGGCTCTGTCCATATTCCTATCTGCTACACTAGATTGCCTATAAAGAAAAACTTTTCTTTAAAACACAGAAAAACAATGACTAGACAGAAACATGTTCTGTTGTTAAGTATGATTCTGCCTAAAGCAGTGAAAAAGAAAAGAAGGGCTTTGACATTTTAATTTAAAACAAACAGGCTGGCATGGTGGCTCACACCCATAATCCCAACACTTTAGGAGAGAGAGACAGGTAGATTGCTTTAGTTCAGGAATTTGAGACTGGCCTGGCAACATTGCAAAACCCAGTCTCTACCAAAAAATATAAAAATTAGCTGGGAATGGTGGTGCACACCTGTATTCCCAGCTACTTGGGAGGCTGAGGCAGGAGGATCACTTGAGCCAGGAGGTAGAGGCTGCAGTGAGCTATGATCACACCACTGCACTCTAGCCTGAGTGACAGAGGCAGATCCTGTCTCAAAAACAATACAAAAACTTGCACATTTGTGTTTTCCCAATGCACTACTTATGCAATGTTTTAAAATTAAATATTGTCTGGTAATATAAGAAGTGGCATATTAGTGTTGTGAATCTACAGATGGTCTTTTTGTTATTTTTCCAGTTTTATTTCATGTTAAATTGAATAATAAAATAATTAAAAACAAATAATAATATGCTAGAAATAGGGGAAAGGCACATTTAAAAAGAACTTGCCTTGTTTTGACAATAGCTTTTATCAAGCTACTTCTTCTAATGGTTTGGTAATAACCATAAAGCAGAAATCTCAGCTTTCTTGCAATTTAACTGACTTCAGTCTTTCTCAAATAAATCTTAAAATAGGAGTTTAAAAACTCCCATTTGAAGAACTAAAACTCATTGTCCAAAGACAAACTCAGTGGTCCTTCCCAGGTCTCTGCCCATGTTTGGCCCCAGGTACATAGAGTGGCTTCTGCATCTCCCGAACTCACCTCGGAGTTGGCTCTGTGGGAGACACTGCCCGATGCATCGTCATGGGCCTCGTGAAATATACCAGGTAACCTGAAGGAAATATCACGAGCATATTAGTGTCAACAAGCTGGACCTGGGAAATCCTGAGGCAGCACTGGCCAGTCTTCTATCTCTGTATACTTGAGGGTAAGACACATTTTCATAAGCTGCAAGACTCACGACTGCGGTGACCCTTACCAGGAACAAAGGTCAGCACTCCAGGGTCCAGGAGGGAGGATGTATGTGGACTGGCAGAGTCGTCAGTGGGACTCTAAGCCTCCCTAGCAGGGGCTGTCCCCCACTAAGAATCAGGGCTCTGAGTAAAGACCCAAATCCAAGTTCATCAGAATGAAGAAAGCTAAGACCGCCATTCTGGTGCATATTCTTAGGGTAAGTCCACGGACGCCAACTGGGCATCAGACCCTGCAACACTACTATGAAAGTCTCGTTTGAGTTCTCCGAAAATAAAAGCAAACATTTCCTGACAAAGCTGTTTATATAGAATCTATGCCATTCTTAGCTGCTCCCTCTCAAAATCTAGAATCAGAGAACCAAAGAGACCCACCTGCTCCACAGAACCTGGCCCCAGAAGTCCTAGGAAAGGGAATGTTGGCGTCCTGGTACGACCCGTAGGCAGTGGTCACCCGTGCAAATGTGGGTAAGGGAGGTGTGACGGAGTTGGGGAGTGCAAACGGGTTGCTGGAGGCACTGTCTTCCTGGTTCTGAAATTTAAAAATCCACAAACTAAAAACCACAACCTGCCTTAAGGCTGAATTACAAAATAAAGACCCAGCATTACAAAACCAGAAAACCCATGATTTTAGGGAGAAAGAAATAAACAAAACACTAAAGCATAAGTTGGTATGACAGTTTCATGCTTCCCACCACAAAGGACTCAAGGCAGGAGACGAGCTGGCGCAGGCAGGGCTCCAGGCAGCTCTGGCCACGCTTCACTTTCTGCAGGGCCGTGTCCTTCAGGATCTAGAAAAAGCCCAAAACACAGTCAACAAGAGGAACACATTTCTCCTATAGGCATTTGATTGTTTTTGAGACAGAATCTCTCTTTTTTGCCCAGGCTGGAGTGCAGTGATACAATATTGGCTCACTGCAATCTCTGCCTCCCGGGTTCAAGTGATTCTCGAGCCTCAGCCTCCCAAGTAGCTGGGATTATAGGCGCCCGCCACCATGCCTGGCTAATTTTTATATCTTTAGTAGAGAAGGGGTTTCACCAACGTTGGCCAGGCTGGCCTAACCTCAAGTGATCTACCCATCTCAGCCTACTAAAGTGCTAGGATAACAGGCGTGAGCCACCACGGCCAGCCCTGACTGGCTTTTCTTCTGCAAAGTGGTCAGACACAGGGTGATGCTGGGAGCCGGGTGCAGGGTTAAGTCAAGGCTTCCAACACTGTACTAATCTAATTTCTACCTCTACAGAGATTCAAACAGGATTTATTCCTCAGCCCTGCTAGAGAAGCTCTTTCCCCAACCAAGGCAGCACACATGTGGGTATTGAGAGGGCAGCTTTTAGTAACAGACGGGCTGGTATTTCTTTATAGTGGATAAAGGCCCTTTTCCTCGCCCCCAACACTACCCTCTCCAGGAGAAATATCAGTATTTTAGAAGTAACACCCACTGGCCCAAGCTGACATTGCTCTAGTGATGTAAGACAAGAGGAACCTATTTCACTTCAGTGAAAATTATAGTATCTTTTTTGTTCTTTAAAAATATAAATACTAACACTTTAAACCCATTATGCCTAGTGTTCCGTTACTGGAACACCAAGCTTGTGGGAGTTATTTATATCCTACTGCTCTTATTTTATGCTACTGGTTTTTTTCTTTTTTGTTTTTTGAGATGGAGTTTCGTTCTTATTGCCCAGGCTGTATTGCAATGGCACGATCTCGGCTCACTGCAACCTCTACCTCCAGGGTTCAAGTGATTCGCATGCCTCAGCCTCCTGAGTAGCTGAGATTACAGGCACACACCACCACGTCTGGCTACCTTATGTATTTTTAGCAGAGATGGGGTTTCACCATGTTGCCCAGGCTGGCCTTGAACGCCTGACCTCAGGTGATCTACCCATCTTGGCCCCCCAAAGTATTAGGATTACAGGTGTGAGCCACTGTGCCTGGCCAAGGTCTGATTTTTCACCAAAAAAAAAAAAAAAAAAAAAAAATTCACAACCTCCAGCATAAATGGGTTAAGGTGTATGCTACAGACATGAACTAACATACAACACTGAAGATAGGCATATAAACTGAGACTGTGATTACCATCTGGATGGGGCTACTGAGCACTTGAAATGTCACTAGTCCAAACTGAGAGATGCTGTTAAGTATAATATCCACAGTGAATGTGGAAGAGTTAGTACAGAAAAGAAGTGTGTATGTCTCCATAAGTTTATACTGATTATATGTTAATAGAATATTTCAGATATACTGGATTAAATAAAAATATTCCCAAAACAACATGTTACTTTTAATTTTTTTAGTGTAGTTACTAGAAAATTTTACAATTCCATGTGGCCTGAATTATATTTCTATTGGACTGCACTGAATTAGACCTTTTTTTTTTTTTTTTGAAGACAGAGTCTCACTCTCTCACCCAGACTAGAGTGCAGTAGTGGATTCTCAGCTAAGGGCAACCTCTGCGTCCCAGGCTTAAGCAATCCTCTCACCTCAGCCTCCTGAGTAGCTGGGACTACAGGCGTGCACAACCACACCTGGCTAATTTTTATATTTTTTGCAGAGACAGGGTTTTGCTATGTTGCCCAGGCTGGTCTTAAACTCCTGAGCTCAAGTGATCCACCTGCCTTGGCCTCAAAGTGCTGGGATTAAAGGTATGAGCCACAGCACCCAGCCCTGAATTAGACAAATTAGAGCTTTAAGGACACTTCCTAATCATACCATTTTATACTAACAGAAAAATCTATCTTTTGCGTATGTCCAAACTAGGCAGTGAAATATTCAGATTCCAAGTTTAACATGTCAAATACCACAAGATCTGAGTTAATGGCATTTCAGAGATCCTTAAGGCCCTTGAAAATTTTTTGCTTCCACGGGATAACCCAACAAGATGAAACAATCAAGTGTCCACGACCCAAACTGGGCAAAAAAAGAGCAGCACTCAGGGTGGCCTGAGTTTGTCAGAATACTTCAGTCCCTTCACTTGTGACACTGCTCAGACTGAACAAGGTGATGAAGAAGCTTATGGGCTTTGTCATGGAGATTCCACCTGATTCGCTGTGGATGAACTGACGCATTGAGTCTCTGAATCTGCAGAATTAAACACAGATGCCAGGCTGTGGCGCCTCCAACTGGACACCCGCTGTGCAGCTAGCCAGCCTGTCTCTAGGATAACACCAGCTCCCTCTATAGAATAAAAAATATTTTATGACCTTATACATGTTTTTTTCTAATTATAAAATAACTTTTAGCTTCAGAATACATCTTACCTATGTTTCCATGTAAAAGAAATTGGATTGCAGGGCTCCTAACCTGGACTCCTAAATGAAATTGGATTGCAAATCTTCTAACCTGAGATGATACATAGCGTTAATGAGATCTGTGGCCAGATTATATGCAATTCACGTATTTATAGGCAATATTTTCAAATTATATGCAATCCTTGTATAGATTTTTCTGAGGAAGGGCCCATGATTTTCATTAGACTTCAAAGAAAGTCCATGACTCATAAAAGGTTAAGAACATTGCTAATACTAGAGCGTGTATGAAACAGATGACTTCTGAATCTCACTGAATGGAGTTTTCATTGTTCTTTTCTACTCAACCTAGACAAACCGGCATGGTGGCTCCTGCCTGTAATCCCAGCACTCTGGGAGGCTTAGGCGGGCAGATCACAAGGTCAGGAGATCGAGACCATCCTGGCTAACACAGTGAAACACCGTCTCTACTAAAAATACAAAAAATTAGCCAGGCATGGTGGCGCATGCCTGTAGTCCCAGCTACTGGGGAGGCTGAGCCAGGAGAATCGCTTGAACCCAGGAATGGGAGGTTACAGTGAGCAGAGATTGCGCCACCGCACTTTAGCCTGGGTGGACAGAGACAAGACTCCGTCCCAAGAAAAACCTAGACAATGATGCAGATGCAGAACAGCAAGAAGAATTTGGGAACCCAGACCCCCACCTTTAGCAGCTTAGCTTTCATGGTGGACGTGATGGTTGTGGGGTTAATGAACTGGAAGGAAGGGGCAGCGTTGTTTGGGTACTGCGCAGGGAACTTCACCAGCATCTTGACGCGATGGCTGCTGCAGTGCACAGACACTGTGCAGCTCCTGTCTGCTGCATCCATCTGCAACAGACAAATCCACAGTTGCTTTGGTGACAAGTCACAGTGTCTTTCGACACAAGTGCATTTAACTGAACACTCCATGTTCCTAGTAATTGGGTAAAGGGAAAAAGTCTACAAAGACAAATGTGTGTGAAAGACAATTAGTTTTCAAAAAGATTCTTAAATTTTCATACCAATGAAATAAGCTCCAAGTATTCTTTTGTGTGTGTGTGTGTGTGTGTGTGTGAGAGACACGGTCTGACTCTGTCACCCAGGCTGGAGTGCAGTGTGGCAGGATCTCAGTTCACCGCAACCTCCACCTCCGGCATTCAAGGGATTCTCCCACCTCAGCTTCCCAAATACTGGGACTACAGGCATGCGTTGCCATGCCTGGCAAATCTTTGTGGGTTTTTTTTTTTTGGTAGAGATGGGGTTTCACCATCTTGGCCAGGCTGGTCTCAAATGATCCACCCATCTTGGCCTCCCAGAGAGCTGGGATTATAGGCATGAGCCATCACAAAGTTCAAAGTATTTGGACTTTAACAAAGCTTCCTCCCAAAGCTGTGGGGTGGAAACTTGCTATATTTCTTTTGAGATGGCAAAATAAACCAGGAAAAAGTTTAATACCAGAGTCAACTTAAAAAGTGCTCCTGGGAAAATCCACAGGGGAACAAAGTAGATTGGGGATTGCCAGGGGCTGGGTGAAGGGGAGATAGGGAGTAACTGTCATGGGTATGGGGTTTCTTCTGCAAATGATGAAAACGTTCTAGAATCAGACAGTGGGAATGGCTGCACAACTTTGTGAATATACCCACAACCACCAGATAATACACTTTAATAAGGTATATTTTGGCCAGAGCAGTGGCTCACGCCTGTAATCCCAGCACTTTGGAAGGCCAGGGTGGGCACATCTGAGGTCAGGAGTTCGAGACCAACCTGGCCAACATGGCAAAAACCCCATTGCTACTAAAAGTATGAAAAAAAATTAGCTGAGCATGGTGGTGTGCACCTGTAATCCCAGCTACTCAGGAGGCTGAGGCAGAAGAATTGCTTGAACCCAGGAGGCAGAGGTTGTAGTGAGTCATGATCGCACCACTGCACTCCAGCCTGGGTGGAAAGAACAAGACTCAAAAAAAAAAAAGGTGAATTTTATAGTACGTGAATTATATATCAATGATTTTTTAAAAGCACTCTCAAAGAAAGGAATCAAGGCCAGGCGTGGAGGCTCACACCTATAATCCCAGCACTTTGGAAGTCAAGGTGGGCGGATCACCTGAGGTTGGGAGTTCAAGACCAGGCTGACTGACCAACATGGAGAAACCCCATCTCTACTAAAGCTACAAAATTAGCCAGGCATGGTGGTGCATGCCTGTAGTCCCAGCTACTCAGGAGGCTGAGGCAGGAGAACTGCTTGAACCCAGGAGGCAGAGGTTACAGTGAGCCAAGATCCTGCCATTGCACTCTAAACTGGGCAACAAGAGTGAAACTCCATCTCAAAAAAGGGAAAAAAAAGACTCGAGATCTTAAACTAGATCACTAGGTATCCACACTGTCCTCAAACAGGACAAAGGGAGCATAAACTGACTTGATATAGATCACTAATTCAGCAAAGAATGCTTTCTATCTTTTGATTTGTGTTGCCATCTAAAGACAGCAGCTGGAGTAAAGTGAAAAGAACCACACACGTGGGAAACCTGGAGACTTGGATGCACACTTTATTTCTTCCACCAAATAGCTGCTGACCTCAGACAAGTCATTTCTTCTCTTGATGTCTCAGTTTTCTCAGCTGTAAAGTGAGGCTAAAAGCACTCACAGCAGACTTGTTTTAAAGGCCCCATGAGATAGTTATGTAACAGCACATACCCCTTCCTGCTATTCACTATATTTGGGTGAAGGAAAAACTAATCAAGCTTTAAAACTCCTTCCTGGAGAGATATTCAATTTTCTGAAGCAAAGAGTTTCGGTACTTGCCCCAAAGGAAGAGTAAATGTTCCACAGGCTAAGTGTATAAAGAGGTTTTGGTTGCCTTCTTACTATGAATCTAAATCCCACAGCCTGTGAGGGAACACGGCACGGCACGGCACAGCACAGCACCCTGGAGGGGCTGGAGGGCTGGCTGCCCAAGTCAACTCTGCCCATAACCTCAGCAGCAACTCCTGCCAAAACACTAAGCCTCCCAGGTTTTAGTGTCTTCCTTTATAGTAAAATGCGATGTTGAAGCATCTAAGGAGGAGCTAAGACACATGAGCACCAGGTTCTCCTTTGGCTGATCTTAGGAGAAAAGAAAAGGATTAAGAAGAAAGTCTGCATTCCTTTTTCTTTTCTTTTTTTTTTTTTGAGACAGAGTCTTGCTGTCACCTAAGCTAGAGGGCAGTGGTGTGATCTTGGCTCAGTGCAACCTCTGCTTCTCAGGTTCAAGTGATTCCTGTGCCTCAGCCTCCTGAGCAATTGGAACCACACCCACCACCACACCTGGCTAATTCTGTGTGTGTGTGTGTGTGTGTGTGTTTTTAGCAGAGATGGGGGTTTCACCATGTTGGCCAGGGTGGTCTCGAACTCCTGGCTTCCTGGCTTCAAGTGATCCACCCACCTGGACCTCCCAAAGTGCTGGGATTTCAGGTGTGAGCCATCACACCTGGCCAGAAAACTCAGGAAATAAAAAAGCAAGCAGAGAGAGTTCTGTTAAAGCTGCAAAGCTGTTTGCTAACTGAAATCGTTGCTGAAATGGTTCCCTCCCCAAACCGCCATCTGCAAACATGAGACACTGTTGATTAAACTAAGTACCTCCACATTGACATTCCGGATTTGCACATTGATCAGGGAGAATTCCTGCTGCAAGGTCTGAGGCAGTCCCAATTGATCTGATTTCCTCTCTTCCAGGAGATTGCTAGGGGGATCTTCCTTTAGGGCTAGCAGGAGAGAGAAGTTCAATGTTGGAAAGCATTTTTGAAAATGAATCAGGGAACAGGTCTGGGGTATCTGCCACATCTCTGCAATGCATAACGTGGCACCTCACCTGAGAAGCCAGTTTCACAAATTACCTTCTTCCTCCCCGTGGCTTGCATTGTGCTGGTGATCTATATCTTCAGCGTGCAGGGTCTTCTCGGGTTCCGGCAGAAGAGAAATGCTCTCAATGAACTCATCGACACCATCTAATATGTCATTTGCACAAAGCTGCAACAAAGTGGGGAAGATGTATTTCTAGAGAAGTCAGTGGAAAAGATCATCATGTCTGATTAAAGAGTTAAAAATGGGAATGACAAAGGATGGAGATGTGTCAGCCAAGAGCTGACATAATCAAAATAGATTTTACCCATCACCAGCTCTCCCTGCTTAAACACCCAGGATAATAGACCCTATTATTCAGCCCTGGAAATTTTTCATCATGTTCAGAGTTTATGCAAGCCTCAGGAAAAAAAAAAAAAAAATTACTTTTAACTCCAAGCCTTGATGGAGTTATTCAGCTAATCCAGGAGCAAAAATATCATAACCGGCCGGGCATGGTGGCTCATGCCTATAATCCAGGCACTTTGGGAGGCTGAGGAGTGCAGATCACCTTAGGTCAGGAGTTTGAGACCAGCCTGACCAACATGGTGAAACCCTATCTCTACTAAAAATACACAAATTAGCCAGGCATGGTGGCAGACGCCTGTAATCCCACCTACTCAGGAGGCTGTGGCAGGAGAATCACTTGAAGCCAGGAGGCAGAGGTTGCAGTAAGCCAAGATCATGTGGCTGCACTCCAGCCTGGGCAACAGAGAAAGAGTCCATCTCAAAAAAAAAAAGAAAATCATAATCTCAAGGCATTTGGTGCAAATTGTACCTTTCAGAGAAAACAGATTGAAAATGCAATAAGGTAATGAGATTTGACCAAAATACTCAAGAGTGACTTCACACTAAGCAGTGTTGGCATTTTTATCCAGTATTTTCTATTCATTCTGTGCAACGCAGTGTCCCAAGTGCTGTGGGAGCTGCAATACAAGTGAGATACCTTCCCACTGTCAAGAAATGTAGCCATCAGATGGGGAGCAGACAGAGCCCTGTGATAAGGCAGAGCAGAGCAAGGGTCATAAAAGCAGCTCAGATCAGGCAGGCCCTACTGTGGTTCATGTAAGAAACAGATATCATTTATTGGGAAAAAATTATAAACAGCTTCATAGAAGTGGTGCTGTTGACGGATGTAGAGGCCTCTAAGCATTTGCAGAGTGCAAGGGTAGGCTTTTTTTTTTTTCTTTTTTGAGATGGAGTCTCACTCTGTCACCCAGGCTAGAGTGCAATGGCGAGATCTCAGCTCACTGCAACCTCTGCTTCCTGGCTTCAAGTGATTCTCCTGCCTCAGCCTCCTGAGTAGCTGGGATTACAGGGGTATGCCACCATGCCCAACTAATTTTTTTTTATTTTTAGTAGAGACAGGGTTTCACCATGTTGGTCAGGCTGGTCTTCAACTCCTGACCTTGTGATCCGACCACCTCGGCCTCTGGGATTAAAGGCGTGAGCCACTACAACCGGCAAGGGTAGATTTCTTAGCACATTTAGAAAAGAAAGAAATGAACCCCACAAGCCACAGGCTCAGGAAGCTACTCATACTATTTTGTATTAGAATAAGGGGGAAAAAGACATTTAGACCCTGCCTTAAAGAGCTGAATACTAAGGTTGGTTCTTAAAGACCTCAAAGCCTTGGTGTGGCACACACCAGCCACTCAGCCAACCAGTAAGTATGTATTAAATGTCTATCTTGCCAGGCACAGTGGCTCACATCAGTGATATCAGCACTTTAGGAGGCCAAGGCAGGCGGATCACTGGAGATCAGGAGTTCGAGACTGGCCTGGCCAACATGATGAAACCCTGTTTCTACTAGAAATACAAAAATTAGCCAAGTATGGTGGTGGGCAGGCCTGTAATCCCAGCTTCTTGGGAGGCTGAGGCACAAGAATCGCTTGAATCTAGGAGGTGGAGGTTGCAGTGAGCCGAGATCTCACCACTGCACTCCAGCCTGGGAGATTGAGTGAAACTCAGCCTCAAAAAAAAAAAAAGTTTATCCTGTAATCTCTAATTTCCACAAATCCTGAATCTTACACTTCTTGGTGGATCCAGGTACATTTCTCCACAATAGCACTGAATACATACCCTCTGCATCTGGGAATCCACCCGCCACATTCTCAAGGTCTGATCCCGGGACCACGTCACCAGTTGATAGTCCTTGGACCCTAGAAATCACCAAATAAGAATCCTGGAAATTCTTCTGGATTCAATATCCACTTTGCTATAGGTTGAAATGGAGTGAGATTCATCCATCCATTCAACAACATCTCTGATATGCCAGGCACTATTCTAGGTACCAGGACTACAGCATGGATAAATTAGTGTCTATCTTTACAGATCTTGCGTTCCAATGGTAAAAACAGACAAACAAATATAAAACATCTGGTAAGGATAACTGATATAAAAATAACACAAGATAAGAGGACAGAGACTGACAGTGGAACTATTTTTAGCTAGAACTCCCCAAGGAAGTCACATTTGAGCAGAAACTTAAATTAAGTGAAATAATAACTGGCAAATTAGCAGGTAAAGAGCAATGCTGGGATTTAATGTCACACTAAACTTTCACCTCTGCAAATGTTCTTCCTTTTACATGCTCTTGAGGAGCTGAAGATGAACACATTTTTGCAAAATGGATTGTTTCAAATGCATCATAGCATCTTACCATTCCAAAGAATTTTTTGGTAAAGTGATGCATCTCTTTGTAAAATAAATCATCAATCCTTAATATTCTTAATTGACTGAATCACATTTTCATTTTAATTCTGGCCAAAGGGAAATTATCCTGAGAAGGTTCAGGGTGCTTTATGAAATAACTTCATGAAAGTCAGAACATTTGGGGGCAATTATGTAGTATCTAGAATCTCCTTCATGGCCACCTTCAGAAAGCGAAGAATTCAGAAATAATTTCATCCAACTTCTTAATTTTATGGATGGGGAAACCGAGGCAAGATAATATGATCTGTCCAAGGTCACAGAGTGAGAGGGCAAAAAATGAGGGCCAGTTCTCTTCCTTATCGGTTATATCTCTGCATCACCAACTCCAACCAAAAATTCACTCCTCAATACTTCATATATCACTAGGTACAGCTAGCCAGAGAGCAACTATCCTAAACCATAGCTTGTCACATGTGGCACCATCATGCCCCACGTTCACATCAACAATCTTCTGACCCTACATCTGGCCTCTTTTCATGCCCCTGACTTTAAGAAAAAGGTATGCCTAATTCCTTTCTAAATATTATAAATTAACTCAACCCCTCAACCTGTGCCTCCCCTGCTGGTCCCAAGGGGCCCTTTGCTTCCCCAACTCCCAGTGTCTTCTCCCTGCCTTCCAACAGAGAGGGCAGCAGCCTCTGCCAACTGGCTAATTCTGTGTCTTGACTTTGAGGGTAACTTAATTCACTAAACTGGTTCCTGCTGCCCCTGTTTATGCCACCTAATGACCTGGCTTCTCTCCTCAACTCACTTTTCGAACTCCTTTTTTTAAATTCTGAGACAGGGTCTTTGTCACCCAGGCTGGAGTGGAGTGCAGTGACAGGGTCTCAGCTCACTGCAACAAGCTCCACCTCCTGGTTCGGGCAATAATCCTGCCTCAGCCTCCTGAGTGGCTGACATTACAGGCACGCACCACCACACCCGGCTAATTTTACGTGTGTGTGTGTGTGTGTGTGTGTGTGTGTGTGTGTAGAGATGGAGTTTCACCATGTTGGCCAGGCTGGTCTCAAACTCCTGCCTCACATAATCAACCTGCCTCGGCCTCCCACAGTGCTGGGATTACAGCCATGAGCCACCACACCAGGCCTGAAACTCCTTTCTTAATGATCATATGGCTTCCTATTTGGTCAGTTAAATGCATTTCTCTTAATCTATATTTTCATCTGTCAGCAACACCTGAGAAAAAGGATTACCGCCCGCCCCCAGGAGGCATCCTTTTCCCCTGGCCGCAACATCCTAAGTCTCTTCCTAACTCTTTAAGAAATCCTTCCCCACAGTGAAAATCAAATCATGAAGTGGTCCAATAAAAACAGATGACTACCAGCCTGGGCAACATGGCAAAACCCATCTCTACAAAAAAGTACAAAAAATCAGCCCAGCATGGTGGCACACTCGGGTAGTCCCAGCGACTCAGGGGGCTGAGGTGGAAGCGCTACTTGAGCCCAGGAAGTCGAGGCTGCAGTGAGCCATATTCATGCCACTGCACTCTAGCCTGAGTGATAAAGCGAGACCACGTCTCAAAAAAAAAACATGATGGCGAAGACATGGCAGTGAAAGTAAACTGGAGCAATGTTCTGCTGAGCAGGGAGTAAGATGAAGATGGTTCCCAACTTACAATGGTTCAGCTCATAATTGTTTGACTTTATGATGGTGCGAAACTGTCACAATTTTAACATAATATGTAGTATTCGATAAATTATATGAGATATTCAACACTTGTTTATAAAATAAGCTTTTTATCAGAGGATTTGGCCCAAATGGAGGCCAATGTAAGTGTTCTGAGCATGTTTCAGGTAGGCTACTTAGCTATGATGTTCAGTGAGCTAAGTGGGTAAAATACATTTTCTTTTTTTTTTTTCGAGACAGAGTCTCGATCTGTTTCCCAGGCTGAAGTGCAATGGCATAACCTCAGCTCACTGAAATCTCCACCTCCTGAGTTCAAAAGATTCTCCTGCCTCAGCCTCCCGAGTAGCTGGGACTACAGGCACGTACCACCAAACCCAGCTAATTTTTGTATTTTTAGTAGAGATGGGGTTTTGCCATGCTGGTCTTCAACTCCTGGCCTCAAGCGATCCACCCACCTCAGCCTTCTAAGGTGGGTACTAAGATTATAGGGTAAACCACCATGCACAGCCTAAAATACATTTTCTACTTATGATATTTTCAACTTAACAAGGGGTCTATTGGGACATAACCCCATCTTAAGTAAAGGAACATCTGAACAAAAACACATGCATAATAATTAAATTTCTAGGCAGGGCTCATGCCTGTAATCCCAGCACTTTGGGAGGCCGAAGCAGGTGGATCGCAAGGTCAGGAAATCGAGACCATCCTAGCTTACACAGTGAAACCTCATCTCTACTAAAAATACAAAAAATTAGCTGGGCATGGTGCCACACACCCGTAGTCCCAACTACTCAGGAGGCTGAGGTAGAAGAATTCCTTGAACCGGACCTGGGAGGTGGAGGTTGCAGTGAGCCAGGACTGCATCACTGCACACCAGCCTGGGTGACAGAGTGAGACTCCATCTCAAAAAAAAAAACAATTAAATTTGTAAAAGATGCAGAAACAGGCAAGCCTAAACTATGTTTAGGGATTCATAAATAGGCAGTGAAAACACAAAGGAAGAATCCAGCAATTGCTATCATAAGCGTCAGGGGCATAATGCTCTAGGGGAAGGGAGGGGATTGTGAGGAGGAAGCTTCAGGGGTCCTGGCATTATTTTATTTCTTGCCCTGCATGGTAATTACACAGATTTCCACTTTACAATTACTTGTTAAACTGTACATGTTCTAAGTAATTTTCAAATACATGATATATTTCACAGTAAAAAAAATTTTCTTTAATTTAAACTTGTATTTTAGGTTCAGGGGTACGTGCAGGTTTGTTGCATTGGAAAACTCATGTCACAGGGGTTTGTTGTACATATTATTTCATTACCCAGGTACTAAGCCCAGTACCCAATAGCCATTTTTTCTGATCCTCTCCCCAGCTCACCCTCCACCCTCAGGTAGGCCCCTGTCTATCATTCCCCTCTTTCACAGTTTAAAAAAACAAAGTTAAATAGTAATTTGTAGTCAAACTTTTGCTACTGGCCAGGCAGTTCCAACTTATACAACTCACCCCACCAGCTTAAAGACAAAATGGATAACTGAAAATGGGTTCCTAAAAACTTTATTTCCATCCAAAACTACAGGTCAAACCCTGCCCGCTGGACTGTGAGGAAATCACATCATCTGTTTTCCATGGCAAAATGCAAGTGATTAAGTTCAAAGCCAAATCCCATGCACGAAATTGGTGGGATAAACACCAGGCAGCCTTATGATTCTGGAAGCAAGAGAGTTTCAGAAATATAGATGGAAAACTCAACAGGATCATCAAGAGTCTCTTGAATAAATATCCTGGAAAAAGTCTGTGAGAGTCACAAACAAGCTGGGATGGAAGTTGATGCGCTAATCCCAGGTCCACTAGAGACCCTTCCTGGGGCCCTGGACAAGTCATATCGCTCGAACTGCCTGGCTTCCCGTGTGTAATATGGAAACACAAACAAATAAACTTGTGTTCTGCCAAACGCTTAGCAATACGATCGTAAGAAAAGACAGGCTGCATCTAAACTTGTATGGTGAGTTGATAGAGAAACGGAGGCTGTGGCTTCTTGACTCCCATTCCACTAGGACCCTGCATGATGAGGGCCAGATCGGGAAGCTGCAGTAACAACCCCCCAGCCCCTCAGTGGCTTACATCTCTTGCTTGCTCTGCATCTCCACCTCATCCTCGTGCCTGATGTGCTGGAAGCAGCTCCATCTGGAGCTGTCACTTGATGTGGCAAAGGCAAAGAGGGCGTTTAACTACCCATTAGCCCCTCACCTTTCAACCCAGGAAAGATCACATCACTTCTGCTCATAGGTCATGATCAAAGCAAGTCTATCAGCCAAATTTGTCTTCAAAGGGCTGGGAGGTAAAAGAGCACTACGTGCTTGTGAACACAACGGAGAGTATGTAGCAGGCAATACTAATGACCACTTTGGGTCTCCCTCATCAATGGCGTGGCAAGGGCCAAGTGCCCTGACTCTATTTTCCATCTTTTACTGGAACAGATCTCCTCCAGGCAAGTGACTACGCTGAAAATCAGAGAAGAGGACAGCATTTGGAAGAGAAGAGTAGCCTTATATCGTCCCTTTACCCACCTATGATGAAAGGCAACAACAGCCCTGGCTGTCTGGTTCCTGAAGCCCAGCTCTGTCTGTGTCTTCCTTACTGACTCCATGGCAACACTGACTGGCACTGCTGTAACCAGAGCTCAGAAGGAAACCGGCATCAGGCCTCTCGCGCTCACCTTCCTTCTGCTTCCTCCACTGGAACTCCAGCACCACATCGTCATGCCCCACGAAGGTGTGGACTGGGGTGTTCAAGTCAAAGACATTCCACAGGAGAAGGCTGTTTTCCCTCCGCAGCTGGGGAACCATCACGGTCACCAATCCATTGCTGAAAGGCTACGCAGAGAAGGGAAAAGCAGATGATTAGAGTTTTTCAAGGAAAATCAGCTGAGTCCTGAGCTTCCAAACCTGGAATTCTTCCTAAGTAAAATAAGTGAGATAATGGAAGGCCCCAACTCATCTGGAGAAATTTTTGCCAAACACCATAAGCTGAACATTGTATCTACTTTTCTCTTTGCTTATGGAAGGGACCACAGCAAGTAAAAACTCAAGCTGAGGCAAGTGCTTGAAGAACTTTGAAAATTCTAAAATAAGACTTGGCATGGTGGCTCACACCTGTAATCCCAGCACTCTGGGAGGCCAAGGCAGGCGAATCACAAGGTCAGGAATTCGAGACCAGCCTGGCCAACATGGTGAAACCCCACCTCTACTAAAAATACAAAAAATTAGCTGTGCATAGTGGCAGGCACCTGTAATCTCAGCTACTGGGGAGGCTGAGGCAGGAAAATTGCTTGAACCTGAGGGGGGTGGCAGAGGTTACAGTAAACAGAGATCCTGCCACTGTACTCCAGCCCAGGTGACAGAGTAAGACTGTGTCAAAAAAAAAAAAAAAAAAGGCCAGGTGCGGTGGCTCATGCCTATAATCCCAGCACTTTGGGAGGCTGAGGCGGGTGGATCACGAGGTCAAGAGAGCGAGACCATCCTGGTCAACATGGTGAAACCCCGTCTCTACTAAAAACATAAAAATTAGCTGGGCATGGTGGCACATGCCTATAGTCCCAGCTACTCGGGATGCTGAGGCAGAATTGCTTGAACCCAGGAGGCAGAGGTTGCGGAGAGCCAAGATCGCGCCATTGCACTCTAGCCTGGGTAACAAGAGCGAAACTCCGTCTAAAAAAGAAAAAAAATTCTAAAATAAGCAAATGGTTCGGAGTGCTATGCACTGAAACACACTGTTTCACATCCCAGCTACTCTCCCTGAGTTCCCGCTCAAGAGTTACTGAGTGCTTTCCCAGAACGAGCATGCAGGGCTGACTGGGAAATCCCTGGAGTGGTAAACCTAATTCTTGCCACGTGGAAACACACCAGAAACATGCCATCCACATGAAGTATCACCTTCCTACTTCCCCAGTACTGCAACTGCTCAAAGGAAAACTTGGTCAGTATGGGACTGACATGTTTTACTTAGCAAAACCCCATCTGCTAGGAAGCTAAGGGGCCCACCTGGTTGATAGTTCCGTTATTTAAGGAATAAACCACCATCACCTAAGGGCGCATTTATCTTCACCACCCCTCCTGGTAACACTCTTGGACCTCTCTATTTTTTAAAGCAAACATATTAATCCAGAAAAGTATTTCAATTCATTCTTTTTTTTTTTTTTTTTTGAGACGGAGTTTCGCTCTTGTTACCCAGGCTGGAGTGTAATGGCGCGATCTTGGCTCACTGCAACCTCCGCCTCCTGGGTTCAGGCAATTCTCCTGCCTCAGCCTCCTGAGTAGCTGGGATTATAGGCACGTGCCACTGTGCCCAGCTAATTTTTTCTATTTTGAGTAGAGACGGGGTTTCACCATGTTGACCAGGATGGTCTTGATCTGTTGACCTCGTGATCCACCCGCCTCAGCCTCCCAAAGTGCTGGGATTACAGGCGTGAGCCACCGTGCCCGGCGTCAATTCATAAGAAGAGTGTCTGATTTCTTGGCAAGTGATCCCAGATACGAAACCAACTTAATACCCAAATTATCTTTTTAGCTCCACAATGCTCGATAGTGACAGCTGAATGTATAAAGGTAGCTTTATGCATCCCTGTGCTTGCTTTTAAATTGACATTAAAGGAAATACATTATCTCTCACCTGTGTGGCAGTGGAAAATTACTGGAAGGTTGATAATAGCCTACCCACTCTATTTGCAGCATTTAATGGTTTAAAAACCATATAAGTTATTTCAAAAGAAAGTCAGCTTGTGAACCATAGAATTGTATATTTTAAAATGGCGGATTTTGTCATAACTTAAAAAAAAAGGAGGGTATAGTAAAAATTACTATTCATATTCTATGGTAAAGGAAATTTCTGCTCAAAAACATCAAATGGGTTGTCCAAGGCCACACCTGTATTAATGATAGAGCATGGCTCCCAGCCCAGGTCTTCTGAATCTAAAGTCAGGGCTCCTTCTACCATAATTCACTGACTTCAAGCCTTTTGACCCTTTCCTCATCTACCCTGCTGCCTGCCCTATCATTAGTGAGTATCTTTACATGGCCAAGCTTTTCTGTGGATCTTTGATAAGCAATTCTGATGTAGATACTTACTCAACAATCCAATAATTATTTTATTTTATTTATTTTGGAGATGGAGTCTCGCTCTGTCACCCAAGCTAGAATATAGTGGTGCAATCTCTGCTCACTGCAACCTCGACCTCTTGGGTTCAAGAGATTCTTGTGCCTCAGCCTCCCGAGTAGCTGGGACTACAGGCATCCGCCACCATGCCTGGCTACTTTTTGCATTTTTAGTAGAGACAGGGTTTCACCATGTTGGCCAGGCTGGTCCTGAACTCCTGACCTCAGGCGATCCGCGCACCTTGGCCTCCCAAAGTGCTGCGATTACAGGCTTGCACCACCGCACCCAGCTGAGAATAAAATTTTAAATAGTTAACAGCATTTATGCCATCACTATCACATTTGTCCCACCACTAAACCAAGACAGAAAGAGAAAACTGCCTCACAAAGAAAATAGAAAATTTCCCTGGGCTCCTTGTTTTTGGAACACTCAAAAGAAAGTTTCCTATCAAGAGGCAGGGTGGCTCACTCACTGTGTATCTGGCCTTCCAGACAGGCACCTGGCAAGGGAGAATACTGAGGTATTTCCGAGGCTGGCGGTAATCCCAGAACTAGAAGGGAGCAAGCAAGATCATTAGTGAAATAAATGCCATGAAACAATTCTACTGAAACAAGCGTGGCCTTTCAACTCATTGTTTCTGTCCTCTAAAGATACACTTCAACGGCGTATTTTTAGTTCAGCCCCTATAACCACACCACTGTGACAGACATAAAGAAACCTCCCTTTCCATTTCTAAAACCCTACAGGAGAATTTCTGGACTTTATGAGGACCACCAGTCGGGGCAGCTTACTGTCAATAGGCCTGATTATGAAACGACCTTTAGCGCTGAAAATTAAGTGATGTGTTTGATCCTGTATCACGTTTTTATCATGCTGGTGATTTAAGAACAATAGCTGAAGTGTCCTGACTACTCATTATATTTCGACATATATTTAGAACTTTTTTCTCCCATTTAATCTTTGTAACAACCATATAATGCATGCTATTCATCTCTTTTTCAAATGTAGAGGCTATATAAGGAAACAATGTGACATGTTCAACGTCACAAAGAAAAAAGGCGGCTGTGTGAGAACCGAGGAGCCAATCCATTCAAGTCCACACCCGCTGTCATCCTCCATCTGAGGTGCAGTTCTTGAAACTGTAGCACACACAAAGTGAGCCGGACACACTACCTTAGAGACACCCATGCTTCTAATGGCAGAGGCACATATGCTGAGAGCTCCAGCATCTGTCACAAAGGCAGGAAAACCAAGAGTGAAACTCGGAACTGTTTAAGTATTAGGGAATCATTTTCAAAAACAGATGACAGCAATCACAGATGAAAGAAATCACTATGGCAATTTCTTTTTCCTTTTTTTTATTTTAATAGAGGTGGAATCTTGCCACGTTGCCCAGGTTGGTCTCGAACTCCTAGGCTCAGGCAATCCTCCCACCCTGGCCTCCCAAAGTGCTGGAATTACAGGTGTGAGCCACCACTCTCAGCTACTTTGGCAATTTCCTATAAAGTTAAAGTACACATACCATATGACCCAGCAATAGCACTCCTACATAACTGCCCTAGAAAATAGATGTCTGTTCACACAAAACCCTATACATGAATGTTTATAGTGGCTCTATTCACAGTCACCAAAAACCAAAAATCGTCCAAATGTCCTTCAGTGGGTCAACAGAAAATTAATAGTGGCATATTCATAAGTGAAATACTACTCAGTACTAAAAAGTCATGGATTATTCATTTTTAAAACAACTTGGATGACTCTTAAGGCATTTTGCTGAGTGAAAAAAAGACAACCTTAAAAGGTTATATACTAGGCCGGGCACAGTGGCTCACACCTGTAATCCCAGCATTTTGGGAGGCCAAGGCAGGCAGATCATTTGAGGTCAGGGGTTTGAGACCAGCCTGACCAACATGGCAAAACTCCATCTCTACCAAAAATACAAAAATTAACTGGGTGTGGTGCCACACACCTGTAGTCCTAGCTACTCAAGAGGCTGAGGCAAAAGAATCACTTGAACCCGGGAGGCAGTGGTTGTAGTGAGCTGAGATGGCACCACTATACTGCAGCCTGGGCAACAGAGCAAGACTCTGTCACAGAAAGAAAGAAAGAAAGAAAAAGGTTATATACTACATGATTCCATTTAAATGGCACTCTCAGGCTGGGCGTGGTGGCTCACACCTGTAAACCCAACACTTTGGGAGGCCGAGGTGGGCAAACCACTTGAGGTCAGAAGTTCAAGACTGGCAAACATGGTGAAACTCTATTTCTGCTAAAAATACAAAAATAAATTAGCTAGGCATGGTGGTGGGTGCCTGTAATCCCAGCTACTTGGGAGGAGGCTGAGGCAAGAGAATTACTTGAACCTGGGAAGCGGAGGTTGCAGTGAGCCAAGTTCATATCATTGCACTTCAGACTGGGCAACAGAGCGAGACTCCACCTCAAAAAAAAAAAAAAAAAGGCATTCTCAAAAAGACAAAATTACAGTGATGGGGAACAGACCAGCAGTTGCCAGAAGTTAGGGGTAGGAGAGGGTATGAATGCAAAGGAATAACACAAGGTAGCTCTTTAGTGTCATCGAACTGTGTAACACCCCGACCGTGGGGGCAGTTATATGCAACTCTGCGTATGCCACATTTCATAGGTTTTCAAGGCTGGTGCAGTGGCTCATGCCTATAATCTCAGTGCTTTGGGAGGCTAAGGTAGGAGGATCACTTGAGGCCAGGAGTTCAAGACCAGCCTGGGCAACAAAGCAAGACCCCATCTCTGCACCTAGCTAATTGGGACGCTGAAGTGGGAGGATCAATTGAACCCAGGAGTTTAAGGTTACAGTGAGCTATGATCATATCACTGCACTCCAGCATGGGCAACAGAGCATGACCCTGTCTCAAAAAAATTGTTTTAACAAAAAAAATAAAAATTGGCCAAGTGTGGTGGCTCACATCTGTAATCCCAGCACTTTGGGAGGCTAAGGTGGGAGGATCCCAAGGCCAGGAGTTCGAGACCAGCCTGACCTAACATGGCAAAACCCCGTCTCTACTAAAAATACAAAAACTACCTGGGTGTGGTGGTACAAACCTATAATCCTAACTACTTGGGGAAACTGAGGCAGGAGAATTGCTTGAACCTGGGAAACAGAGGTTGCAGCAAGCTGAGATCATGCCACCGCACTCCAATCTGGGCAACAGAGCAAGACTCAGTCTCAAAAAAAAGTAAAGAAAAATTATATCAGACCATATGGAACACCGTAAAAAGTCTAACAGATGTATAATTATTGTTCCAGAGGAAAGGAAAGAGAAGGAATGGAACAGAAGTAATATTTGAAGAGAAAATAATGGTTGAAAATTTCCCCAAAGCGAAGATGGCCAACAAGCCATAAATGTAAGAACTACTTTCCTCCTTCTTACAAAAGAAACCAGTTTTCATGATGGCCTTTAATAAACATAACCTTTTCTGTAGAAGGGGCTGACCCACACAGGTACTCTCACACTGGCTTCTCTGTTTCAAACTTTTAGAGAGTTAAAAAAGTAGAGGGCTATATATTCAAGTCCCAAAATCTCTTACGAAACTTTAAAATATTCAAAATCAAAAACAAAAACAAACAAAAAAAGATAAATCTTCAAGGCGATACTCTGTCACAAAAGAAAAGTAAAATAAAATATTCAAAATGTTTTAAAACTGGTTTTACATGGTTTTAGAGCAAGAGAAGAGGCTTTCCAAAGGTTTTGCTTGATTTGGTTAATAATTTTGTGAATAAGCCTGAATGGAAATGGAAATGACCGTCTGGAGTTTCATTACCTTCTAAAAAAATCTCAAGAGTTCGAAGTGGGTGACTTTTTCTCCTCTCAAAAGAAAATTAGGATCTTCCAAAGAAATATCCAAACGAGCCAAGCTGGAACGCAAGGGAGTATTCTATGTGCCAACAATGAGGTGTTAATAAATCTTTGCTGTTCCTCTACTTAATGCGCAGTATGAATGAACGACTATTACAAAGCACAGAACATAATGAAAGGGCAAATATACAGCTGTAAACTCCTGCTCAGTCCCCCAGCCAGCCTGAGGGCTGGATGAGGGCCTTCTACTGCGTGTGTGGGAAGAGGTGAATGCAATCATTTCTGAGCAAATATGTAATTTTGCCTACTTGCAAAAAAAATTAGTGATTTAGATTGAAAAGTTTAAATGGCATAACTGTTCAACTTAATGGCATCCCTGTTTTGATTCGCTATGAAGACTAATAATCATGTAGCTAAACTTAAAATGAGAAAATCCCAGCACTTTGGGAGGCTAAGGTGGGCAGATCACTTGAGGTCAGGAGTTCGAGACCAGCCTGGCTACCATGGTGAAACCCCACCTCTACTGAAAAAAAAATACAAAAATAAGCTGAATACGGTGGTGTGCATCTGTAATGCTAGCTACTCACAAGGCTGAGGCACAAGAATCGCTTGAACTCAGGAGGTGGAGGTTGCAGTGAGCCGCGATCACACTACTACACTCCAGCCTGGGTGACAGAGCAAGACTCTGTCTCAAAAGAAAAAAAGAGAGAGAGACAATACACAGACTGGGAGAAATGATCTGCAAACTATCTGACAAGAGATTAACAACCAGAATACATAAGGATCTCAAGCAACTCAATAGGAAAAAAAATCTAACAATCCAATTAAAAAATGGGCAAAAGATCTGAACAGACATCTCTTAAAAAAAGACATACAACTCTTTTCACAAGATGGTGCCGAAAGCAAAGAAGGAAGCTCCTGCCTCTCCTAAAACCAAAGGCAAAACGAAGGCTTTAAAGGCCAAGAAGGCAGTGTTGAAAGGTGTCCACAGCTACAAAAAAAAGATCTGTACATCACCCACCTTCCGGTGGCCCAAGACACTGCGACTCTGGAGGCAGCCCAAAAATCCTCGGAAGAGAGCACCCAGGAGAAACAAACTTGACCACTATGATATCAAGTGTCCTCTGACCATTGAGTTGGCCATGAAGAAGACAGAAGACAACAACACACTTGTGTTCACTGTGGATGTTAAAGCCAACAAGCGCCGGCTCTATCAGGCTGTGAAGAAGCTCTATGACACTGATGTGGCCAAGGTCGACACTGTGATTCGGCTGATGGAGAGAAGAAGGCGTGTGTTCGACTGGCTCCTGATTACGATGCTTTGGATGTTGCCAACAAAATTGGGATCATCTAAACTGCTGGCTAATTCTAAATATATGTATATCTTTTCACCAAAAAAAAAAAAAAAAGAAGAAGACATACAAATGGCAAACAGTACATGAATACTCAATATCATTGATCCTCAGAGAAATGCAAATCAAAACTACAATGAGATTTCATCTCACACTGGTTAAAATGGCTGTTATCCAAAGGACAAGCAATAATGAATGCTGGCAAAGATGTGAAGAAAAGGGAACCCTCGTATACTGTTGGTAGGAATGTAAATTAGTACAGCCACTATGGAGAACAGTATGGCGATTCCTCAAAACACAGGGAACAGAACTATCATATGATCCAGCAACCAATGCTAGGTATATACCCCAAAGAAGAGAAACCAGGA